GTGCGTGCGTGCGCGCGTGTGGGTGTGTGTGTGTGTGTGTGTGCGCGCGTGTGTGCGTGTGTGTGCGTGTGTGCGTGTGTGTCCGGGTGTGTGTGAGTGCGTGCGTGCGCGCGTGTGGGTGTGTGTGTGTGTGTGTGTGCGCGCGTGTGTGCGTGTGTGTGCGTGTGTGCGTGTGTGTCCGGGTGTGTGTGAGTGCGTGCGTGCGCGCGTGTGGGTGTGTGTGTGTGTGTGTGTGCGCGTGTGTGTGTGCGTGCGTGTGTGTGTTTGTGCGTGCGTGCGTGTGTGTGTGTGTGTGTGTGTGTGTGTGCGCGTGCTTGTCTGTGGGACGCCCAGGGGTCCATCCCCTGCACCACACACACACATAAATAAAGCCAAAGAAACATCAACGTCCTCAACCTATGCCCCTTATGTCCCACTCCAAGTTGAGACAACTGACAATAGGAGTGCTGAATATTTAATAATTTAATAATTGTTGATGTAAGTTCAATTGTGATTATGTTTTACAAAATCTCTATTTTTTAAAGATCCATATTAAAATATTTATGGGATAAAATGATACGACATCTGGAATTTGCTTTAAATTACCGTGAGCAGGGCTGGGACTTCAGGTTAGGGACAGAAAGCTTGCCAAGCATGACTGAAGTCTGGGTTTTGATCCTCAGCTCCAGAAATAGAAAAAGCAAACAGGAGCGCAGGGATTCTGACAGGTGAGCCACAAGCTAATAGGCACAGTGCTTCATTACGGTCCCTACCAACTTTGGTTTATGTTTTAAATTTTCTATGATAAATGTGGACACATATTTATATGTAGTGAAAAACTTGGAATATGTGTGCATGGGTCTATTTATGTGTATGTTTAAATGCCCATTAAAAGAAAAAAGCCTGACCATGGTGGCTCACACCTGTAATTATATTACTCAGGAGGCTGAGGCAGGAGGATTCCACTGAGGTCTAGGCCATCCTAGATTACAAAATGTTTACTTTTTTCTTTTAATTTTTTGAAACAGGAGTTCTCTCTTTAGCCCTGTATGTCCTGGAACTCACTTGGTCTTGAACTCACAGAGATCTGCCTGCCTCTGCCTCCAGAGTGCTGGCATTAAAGACATGCGCCACCACCGACCGGCCTTGAGGACTTTTTTTTGTTTGTTTTAAAGGGAAAGATAAAGGAAATATGATAAGAATTTATGGTGATAATGTGTGTGTCATAAAATTGTGAGGCTTTGGTAATCATATTTTCTTCTTTTTGTTTGACTGTATACTTGCTATATAGCTATATATCTTACAATGCACATTTTTCTTTATCTGCCCCCCCCCCCCCCCCCC